CACCTGATAAGTTAAATAAATGTTATTTCCTACTATTAAACAGTAAAAAGTTACAGGACTCTAAAATAAAAATAAAAAAGAAACTAGTCATGTGATTCATCTAATTCTTCACTATGGTAAATGAGTCAGAGTTCATGATAAGAAACAGATGCTGCGGAGTCATCATTTGGTACAGTGAACTTCCAAGTGGACATAATTATAACATTTGAAATAATTAAAAACAGTAATAAATTACAATCCAAAAGGACTGACAAGTTTTCTGGGAGATTAATTTTTTTTGGAATACAAATAGTACCCATATATGTCATTTTCCATTTCAGTTTCCAATTTCCTTATTGGGCTGGGGGAGGAAAGGAAATTTTGCTTCCAAAATTGGGACCTTTTCAGTGATAAACTGAATTTTGATATAAATTACATCACAACTAGGGAATGTACAATTTATTGATGCTGTGCATACACTTAAACATTATTTAACAATTATCCAAGCAACCCTCTAAACCCATAAAACTCAGTTTTGATTCAGTTTCATTTGTTAAGACCATAACACCTATATTGTCTCTGTTATTTGCCCCTTCTGTAATTTCATTAACTAGGTTGGGGTTTAGGATTAGGGCTCCATTCATGCTTTAATTTACTCCTCCTGACACCTCAGCACCACTCACTTTGACACCTTGGACCAGAAATCATATCCTGGAGCACTTAACCCTTTCACCCTGCTTGGGGCCACCTCTACCCTTCCCAGTTCCCTCCAGAGCTTTCCAGTTCTAGAATGATGGTCAAACCAATATTTTATCATCATTCTTGGAAAGGGCAGGTTAATTTGTACCTCTATGGTTCCACTTGCCATCCATGAAATTTTCCAAACTAAAATAAAATATAATAATCTACCCAAAATATAAAAATAAAATAATCTAAATAAATAAAATATAATAATCTACCCAAAATATAATAAAATATAATGATCTACCCAATAAAATATAATAATCTACCCAAATTAGAATGTAAGCTCCTTGAGGGCACTGTCTGTATCTGCTGCACTTAGCACAATGAGTGGCATAATAAACACTCAATAATGCTTTTTCATCCATTCAGTCATTCATGGGGAAAAATTATTGATCTAAGGGGTCCAGATCAACTCTTCCCATCCCCACTCCACAACTACAGTAATTCACAAGGTCTAGATATCCAACACAACCAAGCCATGGCATGCTTTGGGACTTTTTCAACCTTTCCAGCAGTGACATTCTCTTGTTTTCCTCAGAGAAGCAGTGCTGTTTTAACGACAACCTTCCACAGGGTAGCTAAGACCTGCCTCACAAATTTGACCTCTCAAAATCACAAGGTTACTTCCAGGTCTGCAAACATATATTTCTCAGGAATTAATCAGTTTGCTTTCTTTTCAGTGATCTTCTCATTTACATTATTGTTTTGATAGGTCTGGATACGTTCATACAAATCGTCCCACATTTCCCTTCCATATAGTCATAGTTTCTTACTGCACAATTCATATGTCCCAGTTTGTTCAGTCATTCTCTAATTGATAGGCACCCATTTTGTTTTCAGGTCTTTGCTACCACAAAAAGTGATACTATGACTATTTTAGTCTGTTGGGACTTTTGTTTCTGTCTTTGACTTTCTGAGACATCCAGTAATGAGATTGTTTGACTTAAAAGGTTTGAACAGTCGTCACTTTTCTTGAGTAATTCCAAAGTGCTATCCAGAACATTTGTACCAATTCACAGCTCCAGTAGTGAATTAGTGTGTCTGTCTTCCATAGTTCTTCAACACTGACTCTTCCCTTTTTTTTTTTTTGCAATTTTTGTGAGCTGAAACCTCAGAATCGTTTTAATTTGTATTTCTCTTAATTATTAGAGATTTGGAACGTGCTTTCATATGGCAGTTGATAATTTGTAATCCTTCTTTTGAAAACTATTCATAGCCATTGACCACTTGACTATCAGGGGAGGGAGAATGGCTCTTTGTCTTATATATTTGTGTCATTCCTCTATTTATCTTGGGATGTCAGATTTTTATCAGTGATATTTGATGAAAAGATTTTCCCTATTAGACATTTTTTCTTCTTACTCCCACTGAACTGATTTTGTTTGTCCAAAATTATAATTTTATATAACTGAAATGATCTATTTTATTTATCAACTCTATTAATTTGTTCTATTTGTTCAGTATATTAGCAGCCAGTGGCATAATGGGAGTTGAAAGTTTACTTGCCTCAAAGTAAATATTAGTTAGGCCTGAGTGATTTCCCCTTGAGAGTGAAGCAAAGTCAGTAAAAAGTCAGATTTGAACTGAGGGACTCTTGATATGAAAGGCGGTTATGGCTGTGAGTCTGCTCACAGATGATTGTAGAGTTCCTCCAGATAATGGGCTAACTCATAAGAGCAGTCAACACACCACTGTGGCACAGAGGCTGCCTCATAGTTGTAATTTAGTAGAATATATCATCAACTCTGGGAAACAAGCAAGAGGCAGCTTTGGAAAAGGTGTTCTGACTAGGAAAAATCCCAAGGCCACATAAGCTTCCTTTCTCCCTGTTGGTATGGGCACCATTTGTGGGAGTATGCTCCTGTGGATATGGTGAAGCAGGAATGGGGAAAGAGAAAGTAATTTTCTTCCTCACTTTGCTGTTCTGTTTAAGTGCCTTTGCTTTCTATTAAATGTGACCTCTGGTCTGAAAAAAGGGAAACACTAGCTAGAGCTGCTCATAAGCTATGGTTTTATATAGTCACAGACCAAAGAGCACATTGAATCATTGGTTTCAGTGGCTCCTCCTAGAAACCAGCTAGAACCCTTTCCCTCACTGCTTCCTTTAGATTTTCCTTTCCTTCTTATAAGTATCATTAGTCTACTGTTCTTTGCCTGGTTTTTGTTTTTGTTTTCTTTAGCATGAAGCTGCTGCTTTCCCAGGCTCGTGGCCAGTTTTCAGGCAAAAGCATTAATTTCCAAATGCTAAAAGAGATGCTTGGCTCTTAGCACCATACATATAATTATACATACATATGTGTATATATATACATATATGTATATATATATATATACACACACACATACATACATATTTTATATATATATATATTTATTTATTTATAGATTTAAAGTGAGTATGTATATATATGTATATCTCCACACAACTGACATAGGTTGCCTTTTTGTAGAAAGATGTTATCCATAATACATCCCCCCCAAAAGAAAAAATCATGGATGTTTTCCACCTTTTCTCCTCTGTAGATTCTCATTCTTGAGAGCAGGAATTCTTGGTCTTTGTGTGTGTGTGTGTGTGTGTGTGTGCACGTGTGTGCGTGTGTGTGCACGTGCACATGCATGCACACACCATCAACTCCATTGGCAATCTGAAGAAGCCTATGGACCTCTTCTTGGAATAACTGAGAAATAAGTTACAAGTTACAATAACTTGGAAATAAGTTAAATTTAAGTAACTGAAAATTTTTTTCCCCATCCAATTGCACAGATCCCCTGAAATCTACCAGGACTCCTTGGAAGTCTACACATCCCATATTAAGAACCCTTATTCTAGAACTAATCACTGTGCCAGGTTTACTTTAATACCATGGCTATGTGGGGACAGAGGGCAGTTCAAAAATAGAACTGAATTTGATTGAGAAGAGCTATTAAGATGTCACCTCTGTTCAGCAAAGGACACTTTTTCCAACTGTCTCATCTGCCTGGTGCCCCACATGCCCCTATTCCAATTTTAGCCCTATGACTTGGAGGTGCTATTTAACAGTGTTAAATATTTCTGGCACCTATGTGCTTATTTTCTATGGAGGAAGAGACAAAATATGCCCAGTTCTACACTGTGTTCTACACACTGTGCTGTGCCAACAGCCCAGAGATAGAGTTGTCAGTTGCCATTGACTCACTGTGCAAGTTAACAGTGCCAAGTCCTAAGTGGCATCCAAGAAGCAAGAAAGAGATTGGCTCCATGTTCTGATTTAGAGAGCTTTATTTACTGAAAAACAGATTACAGTCTAAAGAGGCTTGTTTTTTTAAAAATATCTGTTCAACATTTTTTCATCTGTTCCAAAATACCCTATTAAACAGTTCATTAAAGCTGAATAAAATTTTTCTGTCTTTGTGGTGAAGATATCAAGATGCATTGTTATAGATACTAACAAGAAAAACTTAACCTTTTGTGAAGAATCAGAACTATGAGACCCTGGTCGTAAGCGAAAATATCTCCCAGAAGCCAGTTTATTCTGTATGTACTAAGAAGCCAGCAGAGGAGCCTAAAGATGCTTGGAGGAAGGAAGCGATTGTTTCAGCAAAGACATATATATATATATATATTTTATACACATATACAATGCAGCTTATACATATATAAGTATAGTACATATGTATATGAGTATACACACATAATATAGTTCTTCCAGGACCTAAACTACTTCCTTGGAAATAAGCTAAATATTTTGGAAATTATTTTTAATCCAGTCCATTAGTAGTGCAATAAAATAAATAATAGTTTACTAAGATAGATAACAACTCAAGCTGTGGATAGGACATAAAGTCATTAAGCAGGCTACCTACCCAAAGAGAACAAACATTTTTAAAAGTTCAAGTCAGGAAGGAAAATACTATCCTAGTATCTTGTCATAAAGTCATCTAAAGAGTCCACAGTACAATGTTTTTATACTATAATTTTCCAGACAGAGCATGCTTATTGGTTTAAATAAAAAATTTAGGCTCTCACATTTTAGAAGGTAACCTCCTGCCCTTTTCCTTTTCCTGCCTTATTACCACCCTCATCCCAGTACATTTCTTTACACAACTATACCCATCTTCATCCCCATTTCATCACAGTACTTGAGCACTGGAGTAATATGGGACAGACAGAAGTCAGATAATGTCATTCAAGGAAAGCTTGAGAAGATCTTATCTCAGTAAATTCTGGTCCAACATGGTTTTAAATAGCAGAGAAACCACAACACCCAGATGAAAAGTTATAAAGCTTAAGCTGAGAGTCTCACTAGATTAAGATTTAATATCATGGTTAAATGTATAAGACATGAGTATTGACAAGTATAGCCTACATCTCATTCCAGTCTGGTATACACCTCTTATGTGAAGTGCAAAGGAAACATGAAATTCAAATGCAAAGGCCTGGAAGGCTTTGAAGGCACAGGTACCAGTTTAGGAAGCAGAGGCCTGTGAACCACTCTTCTGACTCAACTCATGCCTGATTTTGCAGTCTTCACAGGTGTAGAGGCAGTGCCTATAATCAGGAAGCACAAAGAGAGATTGTTCAAGCTTTCTCTCAGGAGCCTCTACTTCTGACAAACCATTAAGGGACATGCTCTGACCTTTCATATTTTTAAGAACTCCTGCTAAAACCAGGAGCTATAAATGTGTATTAAATATATGCTGTACTTTCCTATTTATATTTATTCAACTTTATAATACAATAAAAATAGACCCAAATTAATAAAATAAAAAACCTCACTTTTAATCCTGTCCTTGTCCAATTATTTTGAAATAATTGCAATGATTTCTACTTTATACAGAAAAAAATACATATATATACATATTTTACACACACAAATAATGCAGCTTATACATATATGTGTACAGTATATATGTATATAAGTATACACCCATAAATCTATCTATATCTATATCTATATCTATATGTGTATATGTATATGTATATGTATATGTATATGTATATGTATATGTATATGTATATGTATATGTATATGTATATGTATATGTATATGTATATGTATATGTATATGTATATGTATATGTATATGTATATGTACATGTGTGTATGTATGTTCAGTTGTTTCAGTCATACCTGACTCTTCATGACCCCATCTGCGGTTTTCTTGGCAAAGATAGTGACGTGGTTTGCCATTTCCTTCTCCAGCTCATTTTACAGATGAAGAAATTGAGGCAAATAGGGTTAAGTGACTTGCCCAGGGTCACACAGCTAGTAAGTGTCTGAGGCCAGATCTGAACTGAGGAAGAGGAGTCTTTCTGACTTTAGGCCCGGTGCTCTATCCATGTGCTACCTAGCTGCTGTGTGTATGTGTGTGTGTGTGTGTGTGTGTGTGTGTGTAACAAGCTTCCTCAACATACAAAGTAACATTGAGGATGTTACACATGATGTTGTTAATAATGCTATGCCATGCACCAAAAAACAATGCTACTTATTTAATAACTAATTCTTCTAAGAGGAAAAAGTCAGTTCAAAAACTGAAATTAATGCAGATATGTGTATATGTGCACAATGTGTTACTTTCCATAATTGTCTGTAGTTCTTTTATTTTCTCCTCTGTGCCAATATAGAGCTTCCAACTGCTAGATATCTGGGTGGTTTCCTGGTCCACCCTGCTGCTAGCAACCCTTTCTCCAAGGTTATGCAAAGTGCGCATGTGGACTTTGTATATGCCTATATACATATTTTACATATGCTTAAATGTATATTTTGCATATGCCTATACATGTACATACATGTCTCATGACAGAACGTAGGCTCCTTGAGAACAAGGACTGTAGCAAAGCAGGTTGGTGCAAACCTATAATCCCTGCTATAGGGGAGGTAAGGCTGGTGCATTACACATGCTCAGGAATGCCGAGCCACCTCGTGTCGGGGTCCACACTACAACCAGCCTGCTACATTTGGTGAGTACCCAGGAGCAGAGGGCCACCAGGTGGCCTAAGGGGAACCAGCCCAGAGTGAAAAAACAAGTAGATCAAAGCTCTAGTGTTAATCAGAGATGGGATCAGCATATGTGTGGCTGCTGAACTTCCAGCCTGGGCAAGATAGGGATATCCAATCTCAAAAATAAAACCAAAAAACTAACAAAGTTTAGAAAAAAAAAACTACTGTGCTAGAAGTCAGAATTTATGGGCTCTGGTTTGTTAGTGTGACCATGGACAAGGGACAGCTTCTTAGATTCAGTTTCCACATCTGTAAAAGGGGGAAATTAAAATTGTCTGCCTACCTTATAGAGTTGATATAAAGAATCAAATGAAATAAATATAAATTCAAGTAGCTGGAAGGGTATTATTGTCACAAATAGAGGCTCCTGCTTTTCTAGCAGGAAGGGAACTATTAAGGGAGGGTGGGCAGGGCTAGAAGAGGTTTTATCAGAAAATGTGGGTTAGATCAATCTAGATTTGGCTAGATCCTGGGGGGGAGGGGAGAACAAATAGTTTTTGGAAACTATTTGGGTGGCTGCAAAAGATCAGTGAGTTCTTATTCAATTCTTGCCACCCCATCACTCCTCTCTTCCAGTACCTTCCCTCAGTGGGATGGACCACTTACCTGTTATGGCCTGGACCAAAACCTGCCCCCCGGAGTTCGAATTCTATAGTGTGAAATTTATTCTGGCACACTCCTATGTAAGACACCTTTCCCAAGCCAAATCCCAAGATACCAGCAACTGTAAAAGCAGGTTATAAAACATTAGCCTTTGTTAAAAAATTGACTTAACTCTCAGACTCTTATCCAATGATTACCTATGTACGGCTTTGAAGCAGAAGCAATTATCATCTCTTCAAGAAACTGATTTACAAATCTTCCTAATAAATGATCTCATTAACAAAGTTTATCTAGGTCCAGAAGAGAGTAGGAGAAACTGGATTTTCTTGAGTGTTTGAATGGTAGCGGTAATAGCTGAGGAGGGAGGGGAGCGGGATGGTGGTGAGGTAGCTTGTCCCAGCTACAGCCCCAGGCCAGCTGAGGTAAGGGTGCCACTTCCAGGACTGCGCTTCCTCCTAGAAGTAGGGGGAGGTGCTACTTTGCCTGTGGTCATGTATTGTCTCCACATCATATACTAGCTCATGTGTGGCCTCCACATCCTTGGGTGGGTAACCATCCCAAGAAAAGAGGGAAGGCCGTTTTCATGGACAAAGGGGATGAAGGTGGCTTCTGCTCATGCCAGCTGAAGGGGAGGGGAAAGGGGAACCCACTTCCCAATACAAATGAACAAAAGAAAGTGCATTTATTAAGTACCTATTATATTCCAGACACTGTCCTAAGCTCTGGGGATACAAATACAAATAAGACAGACCCTGCTCTCAACCTTGTTGAAAGACAGCATGTAAAAAGGAGCTACAGTTAGAAAGTGGGGCAAGGATACTAGGAAAGGTATGGCAAAAGGGTGCCAGGGGGCAAAGTCCAAGTTCCAGTGGGAGAAGGAGGAAGGATAGAACACAGGCCGCAAGGTTTGGAAATGGCCTTTGATCCCTCTTTCCTTCGTATTATTTCTACTTCTGATACTTAAGTTTGATAACAGTATTAATGAAAAGTATGATTTTTGTTAGAGGTATCATTGTATTCTAGAGTTAGGGGTTCATACAAAATATGTAGCAAATATATCACAATTAGTCCCCGGGGTCTTACATATCACATTCCTAGAGATTACATTTAGCTGATTGCCAGAAGGTGAAATTCTGACCAGGCAGCTTGGTGGTGTGGTCTACAGAGCACTGAACATGGAATCAGGAAGGCCTGAATTAAATTTAGCTATGTGACCCTGGGCAAGTCACTGAACCTCTGACTGTCTCCGTTTCTTTATCTGTAAAGCAAGGATGCCAGTGTTGTTGTGAGAATCATATGAGATAGCACAGTGCCTGCCACATAGTACCTGCTACATAAATGAGAGCTGTTATTATTACTGGGACGCTACTAAAACCGCTAAATAAAGGCAACAAGGAGAGAAATGCACATTTCTACTAGACAGCAACTAGAAATTTTTCATTTTAACTAGACGATAATGAGAAAAACAGGAAGCCCTCAGAGCCTGAGGACTGTCTGTGATGTGCTTCTGCTTTAGCTGAGGGTTTCTAACTGCTTTCAAGAGCTTCCTGCATTTTACTGCTCAAACAAACTGTCCTTCCTCTATTACTCAAAGGTAAGCTCCCCGAGGGCAAGACTAGCTTGCTTCTTTGTATTTGTATCCCCAGAACTTAGCACAGAACTCAGTGTCTGGCATACGGTAACTGCTTAATGAATGGGTTTTTTTTTCATCCTTATCCCTCATATCTACAATGCATTCCTTCCTCACATCTCATAGAATCCCTCACTTCCTTCAAGATGTGGCATAAGCAGCACCTTCTTTCCCAATTCTACCAACTACTTGTGCCTTCTTTCCCAACACTTTGCATTTATTCTACAGATATTTATAGAGGTACCCGATGTCTCCCCCAATAGAACACAAACATTCCTTTATATATGAATAGGTCATCCCCCTACCCCTACTCAATAAACTGCAGTAGCTCCCTATTATCTCCAGAATCAAATATAAAATATAAATACAAAATATAAAATTCTCTATTTGGCATTTAAAGCCCTACACGACCTATCTTTCCAGTTTTCTTGTACTTTACTTCTACACATACTACTATCCATCTACACTGGCCTATTAGCGGTATCTCACACAACAATACTCTATCCCAAGGGTGGGGAACCTGCAGCCTCGAGGCCACATGTGGCCCTCTAGATCCTCAAGTGTAGCCCTTTGACTGAGTCCAAGTTTTACAGAACTTGCTGCCTGGAGGCAGCAGGCCCTGCATTTATCCTGTGACCCTGTGCTTTTCCTTATGACTGCAATGCTCTTCTTCTTCACCTCCATCTCCCTGCTCCCTCAAGACTCAACTCAAATCCCACCATCTTTACGAAGCATTTCCCAGTTGTTCCCACTAGGTCAGGAAGAATAAAAGTCACTACTAAAATGCTGCTTCCTTCTGAAATGATTAATATTTGCATATCTTCCCCATTAGAATATGAGCTTCTCAAAGGCAGGGACCCTGTTTTTGTTTATCTTTGTATCTCCAGTGCTTAGCACTGTCCTGGCACACAGTGAGTGCCTAATAAATGCTTATTAATGGATGATTCCCCTCCTAACTTGACTCCTTTTTCAATTCGCTTTTAAGACTTACGTGCCACTTTTGGCAATGATCCAAATCTTGGGTTTGATGCTAAATAACCTAAGGAACAATATAGAATGATAAATTATTTCAGTTTGCAATAATTTAAATTCAAAAAGTTCAAGAAAATTTGAACATTCATTCTTTATAAAGAATCATGCTGAAAATCTTATACATTTCTGTGAAAAAAAACCTCTGATATGGTAATCATTGAGGTTAATATATTAATGAAACTACCTCAAAGTTTGTAACTCAAACACCCAGTTTAAATGAGTAACAAATTTGTAGTTAAGATTCGAGGCAGAGAATTCAGGACCTTATCTAAGGCCAGCAAAGAAAATTAAATCCAAGACCCAGAGTTCAAAAGCACACAGTTCCCAGTAACCCTGACCATTTTGAATTTTCACAACATATTCAGCCTGCATCATTTTGGAGTGCAGAAAACTTCTTAACCTAGGGTCCATAGACCCCCAAAGGGTCCATGAAAAGATTTCAGGGCCTCTATCAACTTAGATGGGAAAAATTACATTTTTATTTCAATATAATTGTTTTCCTTTGGAATCACATGAATTTTATGCATTTTAGAACATTTTTCTGAGAAAGGGTACATAAGTTTCACCTCAATTGTCAAAGAGGCTCATGACACAAAAAAGGTTAAGAATTCTGGACAGAGAAGCTGTTTGTGCCATATGCTGCCCACTGCCACAGGGCCTCAGAGCCACACAAATCCTGCCTCTGACAGTGTGACCCTGAGCAAGTCACTCAGTTTCTCTTGTGCTCTAGAGAGCTTTCTAAGACTATATAGTGTCAACCTACCTCAATAGAGGGAGTTCCCCATACTAATGAAATCACAGATGTAGTCCCCACCCTCTACCCAGCCTGCATAGTTCAGACTCATCTTTAGTAAGCATTCTGTATCTTAATTTAAACTGTACTTGGTACAAGAGCTGGAGATACCTAATTGCTATCACAAAAGCCTTACAGGACTTAAAGCAGCTTAGTCAACTCTATGGGTTTTACTTGGCCTCTTGCAGACATTATAATATGCTGCCATCATTCCCAATGGGTGTCTTAAAAAGTGAACCAGGTCATTTTTTCCCATTGTCACTGCAGGAGGTGGCGGTCCATTTTGAGAAGTGACATTTAATAAAATGGGTTAAAACAGGGGTCAGCAGTTCTTTTATCCTTAGCTGCCACCTGTGGAGGTAAATGCCTAACGGGAAGAAGAAAACAGATGACAAGGGGAAAAAAATGGAAGAAGAGTTGGAGTGGGTGGTAAATGGTGGAGAGTAGTAGAATGCCTTAATAGCTGTTTTAGGAACCAGCAAGGGGCACTTTAAACAAAATTTTCACACATGGAGCTGCGATGTTTAGCAACATCTTCTAATTCAAAGGAGAATAAATTACCCATGGTCACAGAAATTCAGAATTATTTTTAAAGCTGCTCAAAGTTTATTTGTTTCAGTTTAGTACAAAGTAAACAGTTACTGAGGCTATAGGAAAGTACATAGGTGACCTGGTTAGTTAAAAAAAAAGTGGTTTCTTGTCATCATTTTTGGTGTTCTACACTGAAGCAGCCTGCCTAATCTAAGGGACAATTTGGGAAGAGGAAGGAGAAGGAAAGGCAAGGGAGGAAATGGGTTCTGACCCTTGGCACACTTCAGAAGTGAAGCCTGCAGAGAAAATGCTGCCGCTCATACAAAAGACCCAGAGTGGAATACTTAGAATGAAGCAAGGAAAGGGATAGGACCTGAATCTGTAATTTCATCGGTTCAGGGAGCTTCCTATGAGCAACTCCTCTATCACTGCCTGTTGATAACATCTCTACCACTTATACCATCTCTACCACAGCGGCCCTAGAGAGCACTGAGGTTAAATGACTTGCCCAGGGTCAGGGTCATACAGACAGTATGTTTCACAGAAGGGACTTAAACCCAGATGTTTCTGGCCATGAAGTCAGCTTTTTCTTTACAAAACACCATAATGACTCTCCAGAATTAAAGAACCAAATATTTTAAATCATACCTTTGTGGACAAGTCCTTGAGTAACAAGCATCCCTACCAAGGACAAAGGGAGAGCTGCAAAAACAAAGATACTTCTGAATAAAAGAATCATGCATTTGAAGTCTCTAAAATAAAAGTCTCTTAAATAAAATAAGTAATATTCAATGACATTTCAATGTTAATTTTGACAAATTAATTCAATTAACTTTAAACTTATTTTGAATTTTAATAAAATATTTTATATTTAATAATAAGTAAATGACATTTAAAGTCTCCCAAATAAAATTTAAAAGTCCCCCTTCCCAGAAATACACATTCTGACGACCTTGCCTAGAAAAAACTAGAAAGAACTGCTCTGAGTTTATTCCCTTTTAACATTAATAGCACAAAGAGTAATAGCTCCTGTCTGGTTATTTTTTTACCTTCAGTGTACCCAGGCTTAACTGTAGCTTCTGGTTGAGGGTACACAGTTCATAAGTTTCTGGGCTAGAGAGCAGACCAGTTGCTGATTACATGTATTATTCACCCACATGTACTAAGTACTATGTAGCATACAGACACACATATACTGAATCAATAAAGCTGATATTAGTTTTGAATTTTAGGATTTTTTAGATGAGTAACTCTGTCTGGCAAGAAGTTCTATTCTGTTTAATTTAAGTGTCAAAGTGACCTCTCATATATAGTAGAACACAGTGACAAATGCAATTCTTCCTAGCAACCTTAAAAAAAAATCCAACAGCAACTTTTTTTTCATTCAGTACTTATATGGCTCGCTGATAAACAATAAGTGGGTCATACTGAAGTATCAGCCTTCAGTTATTGTTCAGTCATTTCAGTCATGTGTGACTGTGACCCCAGCTGGCATTTTCTTGGCAAAGATACTGGAGTAGTTTGCCGTTTCCTTCTCCAATAAGCCTACTAAAACACCACAAATTACTTCTAAAAACTCATCTAAGTTTCTTGGGGAATGATCAGGTGTCAGTTTCTAGAAGCACAACGAATACTCATGCTGAAGCAAAATAAATGAGAACTACTAGACTAATTTCCAGACAGTTGAGATTGAATGCAGAGGGATCTGAGAGTCAACAGAGGCATTTCTACAATGGCCAAGTATGCCAAAATTGGCGAGCACTGACCAAGTCAGATCAAGTTAACAAGCATTTATCAAGAGCTTACTATATGTGGGGCAGCTAAGTGGTGCAGTGGATAGAGCACCGGCCCTGAAGTCAGGAGGACCTGAGTTCAAATCTGGCCTCAGACCAAACACTTGACACTTACTAGCTGTGTGACCCTGGGCAAGTCACTTAACCCCAATTGCCTAAAACAAAAGAAAAGGAAAAAAAAGCTTACTATGTGTCAGGCACCATCCTTAGCATTGGGGAACCAAAGAAATGCAAAAGCAACACTCCTGACTACAATGAGCTCACAAGGAGAAAGGCAGCATGCAAACAACTACATAACGACAAGATACATACATGATAAACTGGATGTGATCTCAGAGGGAAGGCATTAGCTTTGTGCAAGATCAGGATAGCAGAATGCACTAGGACTACATGGAGTTGGCCATTTTAAAGTCAAGTTCTCTTCAATTCATGGAAAGTGAGAGCCAAATGACATCTACTTAGAGCTGACTGGTACCTGGTCCAACATCCTTTTGGCTGCTAGCTAAATGGCATAGTAAGAGCGTGCCAGACTTCAAGGGCTGGCATGAGGATCAAATGAGATCACATCTGTGTTAAACATGGTGCAAACCCGAAACTGCTATGTAAATCTATTTTATAAATGAAGAAACTTAGGTCCGGAGAGGTTACGTGATTTTTGAATGCATGTATTAGATAAAAATTTTAGTAGAACAATATAAATAAGACTCCATTTTATAGAAATGCTACCATGGCTTATATGACTCCTCTCCAGTAAGCACGCTGCAAGGACGAACTTATCTGTGAAATGAGACTAGTCTAGAAATTTGCACGTTCTATGTCATGTGCTCATTTTTCTCCCAGAAATCCTTCACTCATGAAGCAGGAGCTGTTTACTTTATGTTTTGGTGTCCTCAGAGTTCTGCACAGTACCTTGCTTAATTAATTTTTCTTGAATTGAAAGCGTTTAAGGTAGTACTTAGTAAGACACATAATAAGAAATGAAAGCATCCTGTTAAACAGCGATGGTTCTGTTTTGAAGGAATTTAGATCTTAAATTTTAGGCAACCTTAAAACATTGCAAAATCACAGAAATTTTTTGTAATGGTTTTTTTAAAAAATAAGTTCACTATTAAAAATGGAAAAAGTTATCAAATATTAAAACAATTTTCAGGCTATAACATAATTTTTGGACCATTGTCAGTAAATACCTAACAAACATGGTTTTAACAAAGGATTTAAAAACTTCTGGAAATACCTCTCTTCCAGAAACTCTCTTCTTTACACTCACGGATGATCTTTGAGATCTCTCCTCGGTGAATGTGGTGGATCTTTGATTTGGGACAAAACAACAGGCTCTGTAAAGAAAATTGTGTGGCTTGTTTACTGAAATCATCAGAAAAGTATTCCACATGGTTTCTCTGGAGGAGACATTGGGGAACCATTTCACTAAGCTATTTTGGTGCCTGATCCCAGCAGTAACTGAGGAGGAAGTCTCTCATTTTTACAAAATAGCGCAAAAGGTAAGAAATGAACATTCAATTTACTGATTTGAAAAGAAAGGAAGAAGCATTTATTAAACACCTACTATGTGTCAATCACTTTACAAATATTATTCTAATTTGATCCTCAACATCTCTGGGAGGTGGGTGCTATAATGATTCCCATTTTACAGTTGGGGAAACTAAGGAAGACAGGATTAAGTCACTTGCCTAAAGTAATACAGCTAGTAAGTGTCTGAGGCTGGATTTGAACTCAAGTCTTCCCGACTCCAGGTCCACTGATTTACCCACTGTACCACCTGGCTATCTGAATGAAAAAATAATGAGGGGAAAAAACTTCAGGCAACATATGTAAAAATTATTCACTGTGGCCAAATTGGATTTATACTGGAGATGCAAGGACAGCTCATCATTAGAGAGGCAATTAACATAATTAATTTTATTAACAGAGAAGCAGCCTGGCTTTGCTGATTTTGAAGCTGAGGACACTTGAATTCCAGTCTGTCTGTGTGATCCCAGGCAAGTCACTTAACCTCTCAGTGTCCCAGGCAACTATCTAAACACTAATTTGCAGAGCAGGTGCTGATCTGCATTAGTAGAAGTTTCTTCATTGGGAATTTCCTATCAATGAAATCACAGGTCCCACACCATCCCATCAAAGACCAAGAGCTATTTTCTTTTTGTTGTTGTCTTTTAAAATCATCTATCTCTCTATCCATCTATCTATGCTATTTCCCAATAATTAAGTCATTAATAGATATGAACAAATAGCTCTCAAAATAAGAATCAAAAATTATTAAAAGCCATATAAAAGATGGCAAATCACTAAGAGCAAATGCAAATCAAAACGTCTCTGAGATTTCACCCCCACACCCTCCACATTATCAAAGATGACAAAATTAGAGGTCAATGAAAAGAGATGTCTTTCACTGATAAGCTGAGCAGTATTCTTTTTTAAAATATTTTCATTTATTTTGTTAAATATTTCCCAATTACATTTTTTAAAATTTCAACATTTAAAAAAGAAATTTGAGTTCCAAATTCTCTCCCTCCCTCCTGCTCCTTCCCTACCCCTTGAGAAGGCAAGCAATATGATATTAATTATATGTGGGAAATTATCTGAAATATATTTACAGATTAGCCATGTTCAAAAGAAAACACACACAAAACAAGAAAAATAAAGAAAGTAAACAAAACATGCTTCAATCTGTATTCAGAGTTCAGGAGGTGGATGATATTTTTCATCACGGGTCCTTTGGAACTGTCTTGGATCATTGTCTTCATCAGAGTAGCTCAGTCTTTCACAGCTGATCATTGTTACAATATTGCTGTTACTGTGTACAATGTTCTCCTGGTTCTGCTCATTTCACTTTGCATCAGTTCATATAAGACTTCCCAGGTTTTTCCGAAAGCATCCTGCTCATCATTTTTCACAGCACAATAGTATTCCACCACAATCACATACCACAGATTGTTCAGCCATTCGCCAATTTGATGGACATCCCCTCAATTTCCAATTCTTTGCCACCACAAAAATAACTGCTCTAAATATTTCTGTGCAATAAGTCTTTTCCCCTTTTCTTTGATCTCTTTGGCATATAGGCCTGGAAGTGGCATTGCTGAGTCAAAGGTATGTACAATTTTATAGCCCTTTGGGCATAGTTTCAAATTATTCTCCAGAATGGTTGAACCAGTTCACAACTCCACCAACAGTGCATTAGTGTCCCTATTTTTCCACATCCTCTCCAACATTTGTCATTTTCCTTTTAGGTTATACTAGCCAATCTGATAGGTATGAGTTTTACCTCAAAATTGTTTTAATTTGCATTTCTCTAATCAATAGTGATTTAGAGCATTTTTTAATGTGACTAGTGACAACTTTGATTTCTTCTTCTGAAAACTACCTGTTCACATCTTTTGACCATTTGTCAATTGAAGAATGGCTCTTACTTTTTATAATATTGGCTTGGTTTCCTATATAGTTGAGAAATAAGACCTTTATCAAAGAAACTTGCTATAATTTTCCTCCCAGTTTCCTTCTAATTTTGGCTGCCTTTGTTTTGTTTATGTAAAACCTTTTTAATTTAACGTATTCAAAATTATCCATTTTACTTCAGGGGAAGAGTTCTTAACCAAATCAGGGATATTGAAGCTTACAAAAAGCCTGTAGACCATATTGATTACGTAAAAAAAAAGTGAGAAGCTTTTGCATGAACAAAAGACAGAAGTAGTTCATATTGAAGGAACTCTGAGAAGAGAAGCATACTAGGTGGTGAAGCTCTATGGTCCATGGGGTCATGGAGAGTCAGACACAACTAAATGACTGAACAACAAGAAATAATAAATGAGGTATTTGTGGCAAGGAAATAAGATATGTAGGGAAGCATGGGAAGACTTCTGTGAACTGATGCAACTTGAAGTACACAGAACCAGAGAAATAACATGTACAACAGCTACAACATAAATAAAGGAACAATAAATTGAAACTATCTTTATAATGAGCAAGCATGGCCCCAGAAAAGAGGTGAGTAAAGGTACTCCTTGTCTTTCATTATGGAGGTGAGGGGACCATAAGTGTGAAACATTACCATGTGCGGTCAGATGTAGATATGTCAGTTTTTTATTTAACCTTTTTCCTGCTACTAGGGAAAGTTCAATGGGGAGGGAAGGGAGGAAGATATATTAGAAAATGATTGATGTAAAAACAAAATAAATAAACCAAAATTGGGGTATTTATTAAAATTCAGATGTCTGTGTATATTTTTTTGGATCACACTTGTGATTTCATTGCAGTATAACTTACTTGCTTATTATAAGACAAGTCAAAAGTAGGGAATTCTGGTAAGGAAATTCCTTCTGTCAATGTAGATCTGCACCTTTTCTGAGTCTTAGAATTGCCTGGGACACCAAAAGGTTAAGTGACTTGCTTGGATTACCCAGCTAGTATGTGTCAGACCCTGGGCATGAACCCAGGTCTTCCTGGCTCCAAGGCTGGCCCTATCTTCCATCTTTTCTGCCAAAGGTTTTTATTGACAATTAGCACTGAGTCTTTTCTGTCACCTTAGAACCTTCTACCTTGGGAATGCTACGGCTCACCAAGTGCCAGTTGATGAAATAAGTCTGAAAGCATAAAGGAGAAGGGAAAGTCTTATGTACAATCCAGCTGGACAACAGAAACTCGGCAGGCGGGTGGCCTGAAGTAATATTGACTCTCCAAGAGGGATGACAGCTTGCTTTTGGAGCCCCAAGACTTTAGAGTTATAGAAATATGCTAAATTAAGATGTCTGGGAGGATAAGAGCTGAATGAATGGGGATGAGAAGCCCCCTTGGGATTCAAATGGTAATGGGAGTGATTCTAATGCTGTATCTAGTGAGAAATTAACTCTAGCTGGCAGATTCCATTACAAATGCAGTTACAGTTTATAAGATGTATGTTATGTAGGATGTTTAATGTGCTGCTGCGGCTTTAGGATGAAAAGAGATACAGCCAGTTGTATCAGGGCTTGTTGGTTTGAAGAGAAACAAAATGTCACACCTGCTTGTGGACAAGGGCCAGTAAACTGAAAAAAATTATCATTACCTGCATGCAGAGGCATGCTAGAGCCGGTATGAACTAGCTCAGAGTCTATTGATAAATTTTCAATATGAGCATTTACACCTTGGAAATCAGCAAACGCTAAATATCAGGGCTTGATTTGTTGTTGTGTTGCTTTCTAAGCTCAAGGCAGTGATGGAGAAAAAAAAGAAAGTGATGGAGAAAATGTTAATAATAGAGATTAATTAAAAATGAATGGTGCAGTGGATAAAGCACCAGCCCTGGAGTCAGGAGGACCTGAGTTCAAATCCAGCTTCAGATGCTTACCTAGCTGTGTGACCCTGGGCAAGTCACTTAACCTGGACTCCCTCCTCCCCAAAAAGTGCACATGGGGTAAAAATGGTTTGTTTGTTTTTTGGGGGGAAGCCAGTTGTTAAACATCTACCAGCACACCCTTGCCTGCTTGCATTGTGATCATTGTGAAGACCTGAACATGAGTAGCTGCTTGGGTGAAAAAGCAAGATCTATAGGATGGAAAAACTGCCAATATCAGACTATAACTTCAGTGCCAGAAGTCAGGTGCGACTTTTAAAGAATGAGCCCTTCTAGAGAATTCTTAGGGTTAGCATGAGTAGAATTACTACTGCTATTCATATCAAAGGGCCTTGCTCGGAGGGAATTATGGATCTAGCAACAGGTAGGTCTTTTCTTGGAGAATGTCTTTCCCATCTTGCTTTGAAGTCAGGAAGACTTGGGGTCAAGTCCAACACCACCAGAAAAGTCATAACTTTAGTACCCCAAGCAACTAAGACTACACATTAGAGTAGTTGCTATCTGCCCCTGTGGAGGGACTTTCCTTAATGAAAATTGTTCCATGTTGATAAAAAGTCACAGCATCAGCTCACCACTTCCAAACTTAAAAATAAAAAATGGCATTGGGGACAATACACTAGTTCCTGGCCCTCATCAGTCTCTGTTCCAAGAGGTCTGATAGAAAGGTGGATAACCCTATCACTATTTCCTCCTCTGGGCTAATCTCCCAACTTTGTTAAACATAGTCTCCTTCCCCTCAGATTTCTCCTCATTCAAATGATTCAATACAGACTGAGTTGTGAAGCTGTTAAGTTTATATCAGGGAGAAACTGGTCAACAAACAAACATTCATTAAGTTCCTATTATGGGATACACATATGGATATGAAGACAAAACGAGGGCCACTCAACTATGGCTCAAGTCTACCCTAGCATTCTTTAGTGGCCCATATGTATCTCAAGCTGGCCCTTCCATCTACCCCAACTATTCCTCTCTTTCCTTTCCCAATGGGGCCAGCGTTGGACCATCTGGTTCTATGCTAGAGATGAAGACAGAAGGAGAAGTGTGGGTGCCTGGGAGAAGCAAGACAGTTTTTGACCTCAGAGTTTCCTGGCTCCTCCACAAAACACTAATCCCTGAGCATGGGCATAGACTTGGAGTCACAAGCCGGCTCCTGCAGCTGCGTGCAACAAGGCGAGGGGAGTTTGCTGGCACGTCTTCTTGAACATCCCACAGGGGCTCTGAATTAGTAGGAGCACTGCTGTTAGGATGCATGTCCCTGCAAATTCTCCTGGGAGTATTGCAAGTGCTCCTTTTCTTTCTAACCATTAATGCTTTATAGCTCTCAATTTCATAGTGGTAGCTATCTACTTAAGCCTTCACATTCTTATTTCCAAGTGTGAATTGATTGGCCTCTTGCCTGGAACTGCCTCTCAACTTCCCTCCTCTAGACAAGTGCCTTGCATTCTTAAATTTCACCTAAATCTTGAATGTGAACTTCATTCACATTAACCTTTGCCCAGTTACCTCCCTGAGCTATTAGGCTGGCTCCTAGAGGCCAGCTACTGGGTCTTATCTACACTGTGTATTTGCATCCTCCAGACTGAATAAATGTTTGTGGTGCTGCCTGGGTTAACACTTGTTCTCCACCAAATGGCTTACTTATTTCCCTGAAGGAAGACCCTGCTATCCCAACTTTCCAAAAGGAAATACAAACATAATTTATCAACTTATGATAAGTGTTGTTCTCCCCACCCCTGCTATGAAATCAGGTCCCTGAAGACAAGGACTGTTTCATTTTTAATTTGAATTCTGAGGGTCCAGCACATAGCAAGTATTTCATAAACACAACCTTAGTTGGACAATAACAGCCAATTTTCACATCTGGCTTGAATAAAAACAAGCCAGAGTAAACAAAAAAATAAATTTCAAAAACTAAAAAACAATTTTTAAAGTGGATTTTCTTCTCAAGTCTTTCCTTCCTAATTCTCCTTGTACTAATTTTAAAAAGGTGCCAAATCTACAAGCAAAAAGAAGCATGGGACTTTGTAAAGCTGTCTCTTACTGAAGCCCTCCACTTAGATGTCACAGCTCAACTTCCCAGAGTAAAAAGCCTTACCTGTTTATCGGGTGGTAAGTGTGGAGTTTTAGCATGTTTTTCAGGAGGAGGTTCAGAAGCCATGGTGGTAATGTTTAGGCTTGCCTCTGGGCTCTTCTCTTATTTGGCTACATAAGAAAGTGAAAAAGAATCACTGTTATCACCAGGTTAGAGTTTACTTAACATCAGCAATACCCCTTCGGAAAAGTTCTATGTGGTATTTGACCTCATCAGGTAATCATTCACAACATTTTTTTCTTTTTCTTTTTTTTCCCCCTCAAATCAACTTTTTTTACATAGTTTTTTTGTAAATAGTATTTTTTTTAATTATGTGTAAAGATAGTTTTCAACATTTTTTATACGACTGTGAGTTCCAAAATCTTCAAAAGCATTTCTGATACCAATTTTTAAAATAATTAACTTCTTAACGGAAAACTGCCAACATCAAAGAATATAAGGAACTGCCACAATACTTACAATATCTCTATACAGTATATTCATATATAAGTATATTTCTGCTGACTTCATAGAATGATGGCTTTGGAGTTAGAAGGGATCTTAGAGGTCACCAGTCCAACTCCTTCATTTTACAGATGAGGAAACAAAGAACCAAACAGGGCTGACCTCCAGTCTTGAATTGCCAATTGCCCATTGGACATCTGGAACTAGATGTCACATCAATGTGTCCAATGTGTTGCCAAGGCCTGTCAGTTTTGCCTCTGTAACATCTCTTGAATATGTCCCCTTCTCTCCTCTGACACTGCCACCGCCCTGGTACAGGCCCCTGACTACTTCATTGCATGGACTATTGCAATAGTTTGCTGGACAGTCTCCCTGCCACAAACCTCTCCTCACCCAAGTCCATCCTCTACTCAGCTGTCAAAGTGATCTTCCTAAAGCAAAGGTCTGAATGTCACCCCAAACACACACTCAATAAATTCCAGTGGCTCCCTATCATTTTAGGGATCAAACATAAAATCCTTTGTTTGGCATTCAAAGCCCTTCATAACCTGGGCCTTATCTTTTCCGTCTTCTTATACTGTATTCCTCATTCTGAAATCCAGGGACACTGGCCTTCTTGCTATGCCTGGAACAAGATTCTCCATCTTCCAACTCTGACATTTTCACTGTCTGTTCCCCACGCCTAGAATGCTCTCCGTGCCTCCTGGCTTCCCTAGATTTCTTCAAGTCCCAGCTAAAATCCCACTTTCCATAGGAAGCCTTTCCAATACCACTCCATTCCCACTAGTCATTATTTCTAATTTGTTGTTGTTATTTGTCTTTTGTCCTCACTGAGGATCTTGACAGCAGGGAGGTGATGGATGCCATGACTTGTAAGTGAATTGGATTTAAGTGAGGGAGAGCTGTGCAAAGTCACCAGTCTCACTTTCTCCTCTGGAGCTACCTGGGTCCAGTGACAAGACACAGATCAAGACGACCGGAGATGGCCTTCCATTTACCATAGTTCATTTATACATAGTTGTTTGCATGTTCTATCCCCTATTAGACTGAGTTCCTTGAGACAGGAACTGTCTTTTGTCTTTCTTTGTTTTCCTGGAACTTAGCACAGTACCTGGCCCACAGTAGATGCTTAATAAACGTTTACTGATTAACTGACAAAAGTCAGAAAGGTAGTTAATAAACAGCAGAACCTCTCTTCTATTAAAAACTAAGACCTCTCACCCCAAATTTAAGTTTCTTTCCTCTGTATCATGTTGCCTTAGAGAAGGTTTTAAGCTAGAGTCAGGGCTCTGGAAAAGAGGTGGGAAGACCTGTAAGAGGCTATTGCACTAGTTCAGGCAGGTATCATGGGGACCCTGATACTGGAATGGTAGCAGTGGAAGAAGAGAAAGAATACATTTAGAGCTATCGACCATAGGAGAATTGACAGAATTTGGTAACTGAATGGTTATAAGGAATATAAGCTCCTTGAGGATACGGACTTGCATTTTTTGTCTTTGTCTCTCTAGCACCTAGAATCTTAAAAAAAAATCTGCTTGTTATTTTCATCTGTGTAGAGAGTTGTCATTGGAGAACATCTACCAAGGCAGATGGGCTACAACTTGTATTCTCAATAAGTTGCCTGGGGGAGGAAGGAGAAAATGGGAGGTTAAGTACCAAGGTCCCAAGGGCAGGAAGGTGGTGCAGGCGATAGAGCACCAGGCCTGGAGTCAGGAAAACCTTCGTTCAAATCCAGCCTCAGACACTTACTAGCTGTGTGACCCTGGGCAAGTCGCTTAAACCCCTATTTGCCTCAGGTCCTCATCTGTAAAGTAAGAGCTGGGGAAGGAAATGGCAAACCAATCAGAATAGAGTTCACATTTCCCTGATTCTGTTGCTTTTCTATATAAAAGAAGCCCTAAAGGAATATCAAGCTGAGTTTGCATTCAGCTCTCTCTCTCTCTCTCTCTCTCTCTCTCTCTCTCTCTCTCTCTCTCTCTCTCTCTCTCGTAAAAAAAAAATTAATTAATTAACTAGCAACTGTGCCTCAGTGTTTTTCTCTTAGGCAGCACAATATGATAAAAGCAACTTCTGGGTGATGATATTGATTCCCCAACTGCATTTAATAGCATCAATGTGGTCACAATATTTTCAAATATCTCTATAAGATTCCAGTCTTGGATATTAGGGCAGCTAAGTAGTCATGGGAGTTGGACATGAAAAACAACTTAACAACAAAAAAAGGTGGTGCAGTGGATGGAATGCTGGGGCCCCGAATAAGGGAGACCTGAGTTCAAATCTGACCTCAGACATTTACTAGCTGTATAACTCTGGGCAAGTCACAACCTTGTTTGCCTCAGTTTTCTCATCTGTAAATGAGCTGCAGAAGAAATGTCAAAACACTCCAGTATACCTGCCAAGAAAACTCTAAATGGGGTCATGGAAAGTCAGACAATTCAACAACCTGGATGTTAACTAAGATGGACACATGACAGATTTCACCATGAATAGAATATCAAATAATAGAGGGTACACAGCCTGTGACACACTGTGAATTCTTGTGGACAGGCTCAGCACCTAGCTACTCCAGCAGTGGCAGGTTTGGGAACAGTCTCCAGGTATTATCCCAAGGTTTCTTACCTACAGCCCTAGGTCTACTCTCCTCCTCTGAAAGGTGAGGATTCCTGAAGGGAGCTAAAACTAAGGCTTTTCCAATTATCTTCAAATTTCAATTTAAACTAGGAGCTAATTAATCACACCATTCATTAATAGTATTCTCAGAGGGCAAGATGGTACATGCCACTGTACTTTCTCAAACTCATGTACTATTTGCTGCTCTAAAGTGGGGTGGAGGGAGGGGCTGACCAGTCTTTACTGACCCTGGGAGAAGGCCCTGCATATCACATTGGATACTGGGTACTGGTTTTACTTGTGGTGCCAAGATGGAGGAGTGAGAAAGGAACCTTCTGAAGCCTTCCCAAATTCCCCTCCAAACAACTAGAAAAGTGGCTCAGAATTGTTCTAGGAGCAGGGAAGAAGCTTACCAGCCTGGCAGGAAAGCAAGGTCCAGGAGCAGCAGTAGCAGCAGCAGCTGGCCTCACAGCAGGGGGCCTGCAGCAAGGCTCCAAGTCTCAAGCAATCCACCATCCAAGCCCACCCTCCTGTGAACCAGCCCCCTAGGCAAGAGAACAATCTGCGGCAGCTCAGCAAGGCCCCACTCCAGTGACCCCACCCCTAGCACAAGCCACCAGCAAGGTGGCTTTGCAGACCAGTAGTGAAGCCCCAACCCCAGGTCTGGCCCACAGTGAGACCCCAGTCCAGGAGCCTGCCAGCAGAAAGACTGTTTCCATAGCAACTCAGGAGCAAGGCTCCCCTGTAGGGCGGGTCAGCAGCTAAACCCCACACTCAGGGGATGCCAACAGGGAGGTCCCATCCATCCAGGACAAGCCAGAAGGGAAGCGGACCCTCCACCAATTTGACCTCCAAATGCAAGACTCAAGGGAAGCATAAAAATGTAAAAAAGAAACAAGAAAGAAAACATAAGAAATTCAATAAGGTTAAACGGTTTATATTCCTATATGTCAAGACAGTTGTAACTCATATGAACTTTATTACTATAAGAGCAATTAGAAGGAATATATATATAGAAAGAGGGTGCAGAAATAAGGTGACTCTGATGGGATGATACCCCCCCAAAATGAAGGGATGAGAAAGAAAATTGCACTGGAAGAAGAATGAGGGAGGAGACTGAATGGAATAAATTATCCCACATAAAAGAGGCATGAAAGAGCTATTATAATGGAGGGGAGGATGGATGGGCAGGAGAGCAGCTGGCAAAGCTTAAACTTTACTTTCATCAAAATTGGCTCAAAGATGGAATAACACACACTCAGTTTGATACAGAAATCTATCTTACTCTATAAGGAAGTAAAAAGGGATGGGATAATTAGAAGGAAGAGGTGGACTGATAAAAAGGAGGGTAGATTGGGGAAGGTGGTGATCAGAAGTAAAACACTTGTGAGGAGGGAAATGGTGGGGAGTAAAAGAGGTGGGGGATAAATAAGGGAAAAATAGCATGGAGGGAAATATAGTTAGTTATTATAACTATAAATATGAATGGGATTAACTCACCCATAAAATGGAAGTGGACAGCAGAATGGATTAAAAATCAGAATCCTATAATATGCTGTTTACAAGAAACACATTTGAAACAGAGATACACAGGGTAAAGGTAAGGGGCTGGAGTAGAATCTGTTATGCTTCAGCTGAAGGGAAAAAAGCACAAAGCAAAAGCAAAAATAGACCTAATTAAAAGAGATAAGGAAGGAAACTATATCTTGCCGAAAGGTACCATAGACAATAAAGTCATATCAATACTGAACATACAGGTACCAAATGGTTTAGCAAGTAAATTTTTGAAGAAGTTGAATGAGTTATAGGAGGAAATAGATAATAAAACTATACTAGTAGGGGACCTCAACTTTCCTCTCTCAGAATTAGATAACTCTAATCAAAAAATAAGAAAGAAGTTAAAGAGGTGAATAAAATTCTGGATTAGGTATGATAGATCTCTACAGAAAGATGAATGGGAATAGAAAGGAATATGCCTTTTTCTCAGCAGTACATGGCACCTATACAACAACTGATCATGTATTGGGACATAAAAACCTCACAACCAAATGCAGAAAAGCAGAAACAGTACATATATTCTTCTCAGATAACAATGCAATAAAATTACATGCAATGATGGACAATGGAAAGAGAGATTAAAAATTAATTGGAAATTAAATGATCTAATCCTAAAAAATAAATGGGCAAAAGAACAAATCATAGAAACAACTAATAATTTCATTAAAGAAAATGATGAGACAACATACCAAAATTTACTGCAGTCAAAGCAGTACTTAAGGGAAAATTTCTATTTCTAATGGCTTACATCAATAAAATAGAGGAAAAGTAGATCAATAAACTGGACATACAACTAAAAAAGAAAAAGAAAAAGAACAAATTAAAAATCCCCAATTAAACATCAAATTGGAAATCCTGAAAATCAAAGGAGAGATTAATAAAATTGAAAATAAGAAAACCATTGAACTAATAAATAAAACTAGAAGCTGGTCTTATGAAAAAAAATACAATAGATAAATCATTGGCTAATTTCATTAAAAAAAAAAGGAAAGAAGAAAACCAAATTACTAGTATCAAAAATGACAGGGATGAATTCACCACCAATGAAGAGGAAATTAAGACAATGTTAGGAACTATTTTATCCAATTATATGCCAATAAATTTGACAATCTAAATGAAATGGATGAATAGCTACAAAACAGAAATCACCCAGATTAACAGAAGAAGAAATAAAATACTTAAATAATGCAATCTTAGAAAAAGAAATTGAACAAGTCATCAATGAACTTCCTAAGAAAAAATTCCCTAGGGCCAGACAGATTCACATGTGAATTCTACCAAACATTTAAAAAACGATCAATCCCAATATTATGCAAACTATTTGAAAAAATAGGCAAAGAAGGAGTCCTACCAAATTCCTTTTACAATATAAATATGGTGCTGATATCTAAACCAGAAAGAGCCAAAACAGACAAAGAAAATTATAGACCAGTTTCCCTAACGAATATTTATGCAAAGATTTTAAATAAATTACTAGCAAAGAGATTACAGCACTATATCACAAGAATCATACCTGCGACCAGGTGGGATTTATACCAGGAATGCAGGGCTGGCTCAATATTGGGAAAACCATCAGCATAATTTACCATATCAATAACAAAACCAATAGAAATCATATGATTATCTCAAAGCTTTTGACAAAATACAGCACCCATGCCTATTAAAAACACTAAGAGCATAGGAATAAATGGAGCTTACCTTGAAATTATCAGTAATATTTATCTAAAACCTTCAGCAAGGATTATCTATAATGGTGATAAGCTAGAAGTCTTCCCAATAGAATCAGGGGTGAGGCAAGGATGCCCACTACCACCTCTATTAATTAATATGGTATAGCAATAAGAGAAGAAAAAGAAATTAAAGGAATTAGAATAGGCAATGAGGAAGCAAAACTATCACTCTTTGCAGATAATATGATGTTATACTTAGAAAATCCTAGAGAATCAACTGAAAAACTATTTGAAACTATTAACAACTTTAGCAAAGTTGCAGGATACAAAATAAAAGCACATAAATCATTAGCATTTTTATATGTTACCAACAAAGTCCAGCACCAAGAGACAAACAGAAATCTGATTTAAAATAACTGTAGACAATATAAAATGCTTGGGAATCTACCTGCCAAGACAAACCCAGGAACTATATGAACATAACTATGAAACACTTCACACAAATGAAGTCAGATCTAAACAACTGGAAAAACATTAATTGCTCATGGATAGGCTGAACTAATATAATAAAATGACAACCCTACCTGAATTAATCTATTTAGTCAGTGCCATACCAATCAAACTATGAAAAAATCATTTTATATAGCTAGAAAAAATAATAACAAAATTCATCTGGAAGAACAAAAGCTCAAGGATATCAAGAGAATCAATGAAAAAAATACAAAAGAAGTTGGTCTAGTGGGTCCAGGTCTCAAACTGTATTATAAAATGGTAATCATCAAAACAATCTAGTATTGGCTAAGAAACAGAGTGGTAGATCAGCGGAACAGATTAGGTACAAATTACATTATAGGAAATTATCATAATAATCCAGTTTATGATAAACCCAAAGATCCAAGCTTTTGGAACAAAAACTCATTATATGACAAAAACTGCTGGGAAAACTGGAAAACATTATGGTAGAAACTAGGTATAGACCATCATCTCACAGGGTGTAACAAGATAAGGTCAAAACTGGTAAGTGATTTACACATTGTGTTAATTTCCTCTTCATTGGTGGTGAATTCATCCCTGTCATTTTTGATACTAGTAATTTGGTTTTCTTCTTTCCGATTTACGGGTAAGGGAAGAATTTAGGACCTAAGAAGACACAGAGTACATTACAAAATGCAAATTAGAACTATGCCCAACGGGCTACAAAACTATGCATACACTTTGATCCAGCAAAGACATCCAAAAAAAAAAAAAGGAAAAGAACCTCTGTGTACAGAAATACTTATAGCTGCCTTTTTTGTGGTGGCTAAGAATTGGAAATCCAAGGGTCATCCATCAATTGGGGAATGGCTAAACAAGCTGTGGTATATAATTGTAATGGAATATCATTTTGCTATAAGAAATGACAAGCAGGATGATTTCAGAAAAACTTGAAAAGACTTACATCTACTGATGCATAGTGAAGTGAACAGAACCAGGAGAACGTTGTACACGATAACAGCAATATTGTTCCATGAAGAACAGTGAATGACTTAGCTATTCTCAGCAATGCAAAGATCCAAAATAATTCCAAGGGACTAATGATGGAAGCATGCTGTCCGCCTCCAGGGAAATAACTGATATGGTTTGAATACAGCCTGAAGCATGCTATTTTTCACTCTTTCCTTTTTTTTTCTTTTATTGCGTCTTCTTATACAAAATGACTAGTATGGAAATGTTTTACATAACTGCACGTGTATAAACTATATCTGCTTGCTTACCGTCTCGGGGAGAGGGGGGGAGGGCAGGAAAAGAGGGATAGAATTTGGAACTCAAAGCTTTAAATAATTTTTTTAAAACTGATTTCAAATCCCACCTCACACACTGGATTTGGAGCCAGGAAAAACTGGTTTCAAATACCACCTCAGACATTTACTAGCTAAGTGGCTTAACCTCTGTGTCTCAGTTTCCTCATCTGTAAAACGAAGGGTTTGGGACTGATGGGCTCTAAGGCCTCTTCCAGCTCTTAATCTAAGATCCTACGACCTCCCCATATGGGCCCCCCTGCCTTAGGTCGATAGCAAAGGTTGCGCCCCTCATTTCCAGCAGCTTCTGGTATAAAACCTTTTCTGCCGTTTGCCAGAATGCTCCATCGAGGACCAGAGCACGAAGTGAAACAAACTGTCTTGTTTCCTGCCTGACGCAGACAAACTCAGATGCATCTCAGCAGCACAACACCCCTGCTTCTGTCTCCACATCCCAGCCTGGGACCAAGTGCATTCCGAGAGGGTAGAGGACCTGGAATGCAGCCCAGAGTCCCAGCTCCTACCTATCTGCCCCGCCCCCACCAACCAACGCCAAAAGTCACCTTCCCCAGGGCTGAACGAGAATGCCACAGGATAGTAGGGTGGGCAAAAGGATCCAGATTCCCGCTCTTAATAAGGGAGGAACCCCGACCCAGTCTGAGGGAAAGATGGGAAGGTGGGTAGCTGCTCTGCTAAACTCAGCTCACCTTTGGGGAGTAGGTCGCCTCCAGCTTCTAATTCCCCTTTGCAGAACCGTAGCCCTCTGCCGTTGTCAAGCTAAGAAAGACGCATCCTCCCCTACCCGCAGCAGCTTGGCCCGCCCCCTGTGCGCTCCCTAACCTGCGCTCGGGAGGAGGGCGAGGGTGGAGAGGAGCGCACGGCAGCCCTCTGGACAGCTGAGCCGGTACGGGAGCTAGAACTTTAAAGGGAACACAGGGAACGCTCTGACCCTACGCCTAGGAGACGCGGAACCGAAGTCCGACACCGCAGCACTAGGCCATGAGCGCCTGGGAGCGGGAGAAGGAGGCGTCTGAACCCTAGCTTGAGTCAGACGAAAGGCGGTGCGCATTGGGACAACAGCCTGTCCATCGTACTGATGGATTTCGGGAGAACCACCTCCATTTGTTGGTCCCCGGGCTGAGAAGAGAAGCGGCGTGAGTCACGGGAATTTGTGAGTCATCTAATCTGCGCAGAATAATGATGGCAGATCACGCAAAAGCATAGAGATCTGGTCTCCCTCCGGGCTTTGTACTGTGCACCGCTGCCAGGCCCTTATTTCACGTTCCACTGGGCCCTCGAGCCGACATACGGCGTCAGGCGCACTTGGAAAACAGTTCTCATACCAGCAGTTTGCCATAGAAAACAGGCAAGACAAAACCTGATACTCTTCTTTAAACCAATAAAATTGCGCAACAGGGACTTCAAAATAAAAACAGACCTGGGTTTGGCTGTAACCCCCGGGATTCCTTGATCTAGTTTCTGTCTTTTGCTTTATACACAAGCTCTCTTGATGTATGAAATTAAATCAAAACTTAGAGGATATAGGCATTTTTTTTCTGGAGTGGTAGACAGTGTGTGGTGGTTAGAGACCGGGTCTCAGAGTCAGCAAAACCTGGGTTCAAGTCCCTATTCAGACACACAGACTTGCTTAGTGACCCTGAGCAAGTCACTTAACTTCTTGGTCCTCTACGCAATTCCCTAAGCCTATAAATTGCAGAGAAAATGTGGATCTTCGTTTGTAGTTGAAGGCTGTCTTCCCATTCGTTTGGAAGCTTCTCGAGGGCAGGGACTATTTTTTGTTTGTTTATTTCCCTGTCATTTAACTCAAGGCCTCGAATGTAGGTGTTTAGCAAATGCTGTTGATCAGTAGAATTTCCTTACTGGGAGTTAAAATACACTAGTAAAATCACAGGTGGGGGCTGGGAGGAGAGGAGGGAATTCTAGGGATGGTATAATCCATCCCTTTGTTTTATAGAAGAGGAAACTGAAGCCTATAAGACACTAAGTGACTTGCTTAGGGTCACAGAGGGAAATGGTTAGTAACTACAACAGATTGAAGAAATGCTAATTTCTTAGGGCACAATAACATTCCATTACATTCATTTACCACAATTTATTTAGCAATTCTCCAAAAGATAGGTATCACCTTAGTATCCAATTTTGGGTTACTATAAAAGAAAAAACTTGCTCCCTTTCTCCTCTATTTTCCCAATTTGTGTCAGCTAAAGCAATCTCTCATGCAAGTATGTGGGCCCACAGAATTGTGGTATTGTGGCACTTCTTTTAATGAAGAGAATTATCCCTAGCTTGCCATTATGGACTTTTAATCCTGCATTGGAAAACTGGGCTAGTGGTACCATTATTAGGCTTATATCTCAAAGAGATCAAAGATAGAGAAATGGGCCCACATGTACATAATTATTCATGTCAGCTTTTTCTAGTGGCAAAGAACTGGAAACTGAATGGGTACCTATCATTTAGAGAATTACTGAACAAATGATAGTTCATGAATGTAATAAAATACTACTGTGCCATAAGAATTTGGGAAAGGGTTTCAGACGTACCTGGGACGAGTTATATGAACTGATGCAGAGTAAAGTTAGCAGATCCAGAAGAACAATTTATAAAGAAGAATAACATTGTAAAGACAAGCAACTTTGAAAGACTTAAGAACTCTGACCAATGCAATGACCAACATGATTCCAGAGGACCAACGAAAAGCATGGCATCTACCTCCTTACAAAGGGATGGGTGCAGAAGGAGACATATGTTTTTTAGACATGGCCAATGCAAGAATTTGTTTTCCTTGACTATGTATATTTGTTATAAGGGTTTTGTTTTTCTTTTTTCAATGGGGGAGATGACCGAAAAATATTTTTGTTTTTTAAAAAATTGGATAGAAGTGGCAAAATAACAAAAGTGGCAACAGTCCATGTTCCAGGGGTTGTGGGAAGATGTTGGCTGAGATATGAAATTGTTCAACCATTTTGGAAAGCATTTGGAAAGCCCTCCAAATAAAGTGACTAAAATGTGCATATCCTTTGAACCAGAGACTTTGTTTCTGGGTTTATATTCTAAGGAAGCCATCAATAAAAAAGAGAGTCCCCAATTACACCAAAATATTTATAGCAATGCTTTTAGTGATTTTAAAGAATTGGAGACAAAGTAGATGCCCCTCAATTGGGAAATGGCTAGAAAAATTGGGATACATAAATGTATTACTGTGCTGTAAGAAATGATGAATATGATGAAAACAGAAAAGCATCGAAAAGACCTACATGAACTGATTCAAAGTGAAGTATGCAGAGTCAAGAAAACAATATACACAATAACTACAACAATGTAAATGAAAAGAAAAAATACACACCAAAAAATCAAAAGTAATTGTAACAAAATTATAAAAATCAAGCAGGACTTAGAAGAAATATAAGAAGATACTCCCAATCTACACTTTTGTGGAGATGAAAAGTCCACAGATGTTACACATTGACCTTTTTTCTTCAGTGTTTCAACTCATCAATATTTTGTGCTGATTTTTTTTTCCTCTCTAAAAATACTATCTGTCATATATGGTGGCTCTCTAGGAAGGGGAGAGGGAGTGATACTTAAGTAATTATGATGGCATAAGAAGCAGAAAATGTCAATAAAAATTATTTAAGAAGAAAAAAAAAGGAAGGAAGGAAGAAAAGTAAAGCTAGGCTGGTTAATTGGGAACTATGCAAGGCAGAGTAAACATGCAAAGTCAGGTAGGGCCCTAGGCCAATGTCATGCAGGCTAGAGTTAGCAAAGTTCACAATAGTAAATGGAGAATAGGCCATAAAAAATATAGTTAGGCTGGTTGTAGATTGGTCGGAAAAGAAGGCCAAACAGATGCTATCATAAAACTATGGATAACTCCACAAGACAGCTATTTCTTCTGCCGTAGTTGTTAAAATGCCCATATAATGTTATCACAGAATCTCAGAATTAAGGGTACTTTGACTCATCTATTTCATGAACTAGAATCCTCCCAACAATATACTTTAAAAAGTGATCACTCAGCCTCCATATAAAGAACTCTAGGGAGAGGGGAAAGCTACTACTTCCTGAGATAACCAATTTCATTTTTGGACAGCTCTGTTAGGAAGATTTTCCTTGCAGCATTTGACTCTTTGCTTCTTCCAAACCCTGGGGCAAGGAGAGCAGTCTACTCCCATGTCCACATGACATTACTTCAAATAGTACTAGCCCTTTGCTCTTCCAAAACAATTTTTAAAAAACCCTACACAATAGGAAGAAAAATGTTTAGTAAACATCTGAAACTGTTTATATCATTAAAATTCCAATCTGCTGAAGACAAGCAATCAAGTATACTCTGAATGCAAGAATAATGTGCACTTCTGTTTCCAGAGAGAGACAGGAGAAGGACGTGGTACCTTTTTTGCTGGTCAGCTTCCTTTTACTGACTTTTGATCTGGGAATTGGATATGTACCTCTCCTGAAAAGGTGTCCAAAGACTGAGAGTGCAGTGGACATTGGCAGTAGCATCCATTTATTTCTAGATAGGTTAGACACAATGAGCTCAGAGCTCTAATTGCTCAAGGGGTTTTAGGACAGAGAGGATTACGAGCGAAGGTTTTGTAACTGTTAAAAAAAAAAGGTTTTATAACTGTAAAAAAGCTGGAACCTGGCCCCTCCTGGGCTCATGACCTTGAGATCCACAAAAGAGTTAAAGTATCAAAAGAAGTAGAAATTTCTGATAGCTCAGAAAATGATACCTTAATAGGTCAGGTTTCTTATGTAGCAAAAAAATATTTTTAGACAATTTTGGCTTTCTCCCTCTCCTTTCACTCTTTCTGGTATCTGCTTGACAACATGGTGACTGCTAGGTCCAACAATAAAAAGTAATATCCTCTACTGTACTATAATATTGACAGTTTGTGTCTTGTGTTTCTCAGAGTTTTGTCTGCTTCTCATAAACTAGCAATATTTTCATGTTATTTCCCTCTGTCTTCCACACTTGAACCATAGTTCAACTCATTATTCCTTGTACACAACAAAGCTTTTTCTCTCTTTGCCTATAGAATTCCCTTCGTATCCTTTAAAGCCCAACTCAAATGCCATTTCTTCTATGAAGCCTTCCCTGAACCCTGACCCTCAGTAACAGCTTTTAAACTTGAGCACCTTACATAACACTCTGTTTAATGCCTTTGTTGTATACTATTGTATATTATAATTACGTATATATGTCCCTTATCTCTCTGTGGGCTCCAGGAGGACTGTATTTTATCCACATGTTGTATCTCAGTACCTAGAACAGCGCTCTTCACACTTTAAGATCAGGACCTTGAATCCTTTACTTAAAGGCTATAATGATTCTGTGATCTCAGTGTGAGTACTTCCTGCTGCCAGAATATCCTGATCGTAGTCTTCCTATTCCTCATCTTGTTCAGTTCTTGTCCACATCCTTCCACAAGTCCTCCATATAGAACCTAGCCAATATCCTAAAGGACTTCTAAGTCTTTTTAACATTATATGAGCACACATATGTCACTTGGGCTGTCCAGTCTCCTTCCATGTTTCCTACTTTCTTTTATGATCATATATTTCCTTAATAATATCTTTTGGTGCCATTTCCCATATTCAAGTCATGATTGGTAATGTGCTACAGCCAGCTTAAGCCTATTAAGTATCTCTCCTTTGGATTACCCCCAATTTTAGCTTGTTGGAGATTGTTATATGCCAAGACCCACAGTCTATGAAATCTTACTTATTAATTTCTGAAATAATAATAATAAATTCAAAAAGAAAATTTAAATTTATAGTTACTGCTAAATAAACCATACTTTAAAATTTTTAAAAACAAGATTTTTAATGTTCTTAACTTAGTAATTTTAGGTCTGTAAAATATGCTAAAAACAAAACAAAAAAAATATTCCATGGACTTCTATTTCTCCCCAAATTTAAATTCTACCCTAAAGGAAAAGTAAATTCTCATGTTTCAAAATTTCCACGCATTTTGCATTTTTAATAATTAAATTAGTCAGTGGGGTATGACTATGAAGATGGGATTTTAAAGGCCTGTACTCTCACTATGTATGCTGATGTTCTGGAAACAGGTACCTAAAAATACCCTAGAACCTTGGCTATTCCATAATTATCTTGAACAGAATACTTGGAGCTTTTCAAAGGAAAAATACTACTGTGAACTAAAGGTATTTATATGAGAGTTATTAATAATAATAATACCCCCGTAGTATCTGAACAAGCATGAATCAGCAAAAGGAATTAATACGTAGATAATGTATCCTAGCAACCTGAATAACCTTTTCCTTTTGTTACTCTCATTATGTTTATCATATCCTTGAGGGGAAATGAAAAACACTTTGTATGGTAGATTACAGGGGTTCTATATTTACTAAAATGTAGTTACAAGTTGTCCTGAAGCAAA